TGAGTGTTAACTGAGCATCCACGAGAGCAGGTTGTGTGGTGCCTAAGAGCTCCTCGATTGCTTGTTGTTTGCTCTGTTGCCTTGCACGTGCGTTGCTCCCATTCTCTCGTCTCGTTTTTGCTGACGCGGCGATTTTATTATTGACACATCGATCTACTGCTGTCTCTTATACACATCTAGATGTGTATAAGAGACAGCTCCCCGCCAGGTGACCGGGCGCCCGCAGACGCCACAAGGGTCAAGGCTGTCGGGGCCGGGGTGAGGGTGGATACCCGCCATCAGGAGGAGAAGGGCGACGGTGACTTGGTCGAGTGGGCGGGCTGCGGCCGAGGACAGGAAAGGCGACGGGAAGAAGCGGCGCCCCACACGGGGGCGCCGCCAAGCCGAAAAAACGGCTCGCAGCGGGTCCGGGAGTTGTGTCCGTGTTTGGCCCTCCGGGAGCGACGGGTCGCACCGGAGGGGTCCATCCACCACGAAGAGGCCCGGACGTCGGATGGGGCCTAGCCTAATCTAATCCTGCTTCAAGATTGTCCCTTGCCTTAGGCTATTCAGTTAGCCTATTGCCCTGCTTGACAATTGGACGGTAATTATTCAACAAAATAAAAATTATCCTCACAATCAAATTGTATACGACAATTGAAATTTGAAAACACAGATATATCAATTAGGGTAAACGCGGTATATTCCGACACTTTAAGGACGCATCGAGAAATGAAAAACTATAAAAAAACGTATGCGTTACATAAGTTCTGTTGCCTTCACATGACTCTCAAAACACTTCACTACGCGTCAGCAACGATGAAACGTCACAAAATGTTGCCATATTTATTAAAAAGCCTTTAGAATGGAAACCTACCAAATCCCTATATTCCTGTCTCTTATACACATCTAGATGTGTATAAGAGACAGGATATATACTATCCTTTATAAGATACTATCTAAACGACAAGGAACCTGGAGGAACCAGCCGTTGTCGTCGAGAGAGGAGGGCATAGAAGACTCGTAACTCAGGCAAGTAGCCGTGGTCGAGTAGTTGAAATAAACACTGAGGCCTTCAAAAATTTCCAGCAAAATTTCCTTCGGCTCATCCTTCAAGAACTTCATAGGCTGGCATACCGCCTGTGCAAAAACAAAATAATGTTAGTAGGTTTCATTATCTGAAGTTACAATTAAATAATAAAAGCCAAAAAAACTTATTAAAGTAAGTCATAACTTGCAATCTTTGAGAGTATTTTCAATGAGACTCATCTTCCAGGAAAATAAACATTCAACATAAACGTATCCTTTTGAACGTCTATATATTTATACCAAAAGTTGTTGCTCAGACAGTCCTTCATACATGAACAACCACATCTTCTTGACTAATAATAGTGTAAAAAAAATTTTCTGAGTCCAGTTCATTTACAATTCCCCGATCTAGTTCAACACTTTATTCAATATATACCTATATCATATGATATGATAACGCTGGTATCTATGATAGTCTACGTGCTGTCTCTTATACACATCTAGATGTGTATAAGAGACATGGTCCTGTCTTCCCCCACAAATGGTCCTCTATTACCCTAGGTACAGTTTATCAAAAATAGTTTTTAAATGAATATATTATTGTGCAGTACATAGAGTATTTTGGTCAAAAATTTTATCTATGGCTCAAACTTCATTATAACTTGTTAGCTTTTTTAATTAGAGAAATTTAGTGCACTATTTTAAATTGCATCAAATGGATATAGAAAATAGGGTTGTCTCTTCCCATTAGTGAGCTGCAGAACAATGTGCAAGAGTGGTTGGGGGAAAAATCATTGTGTGAAACATGAAAAATAATTATCACAATTTTGTGAGAGGGCATGGGCCATGTTTGAAGAAGTGCACCACAAATGCAGTTAGCAAGAAAACGCATGACGTCCGACTCTTAAGTTATTATCAATGGGTTTTATTACCAATTTGATAAATTTTCAGACAATGGCACTAATGGAATATACATGTAGCATTTGGCAGTGCTCTACAATGAATCAAAGCCAACCTACTATTACTATGCTTAACAAAGTTTTCTCGTGGCAAAAACTCCAATGTGACTGATATTAGAGTTGACTTCCTGCAACACAAAACAGTAGCAAGTGGTTGTTTAATCATATAATGTGTTTCTAGATGGATAATATTGAATATCATTTATATTTTTACTATAAACCTTGTAATATAAGAATTACCTGTTGGTCCTTTCTTACCCCAGACTGATCCCATCTTACCCCAATGGGGTAAGATGGGACCAGCTCACTTTTTTTAATCTGTACAGAAAACTGTATTGTATGCAAAAAGTCTGAGTTGTAGCTTTGAAGCCCATTGCATAACCACACCTTATGATAAGTTTAGGATTTTATAGTTATGTATGGTATAGATGCTACATGCCTGTTAGTGATTTCGGTCCTGTCTAGGCTGTCTTACCCCATCTGACTATATGCCCTTGCCTTAGGCTATTCAGTTAGCCTATTGCCCTGCTTGACAATTGGACGGTAATTATTCAACAAAATAAAAATTATCCTCACGATCAAATTGTTTATGACAATTGAAATTTGAAAACACAGATATATCAATTAGCCTAGGTATTAAGCAAGTTTGATAGCTTTAATTTTACAAGACATTTATACTTAATATGAAAAATATTAATCAAAAGTAGCCTGCTATCAGTGCTATGACAACAGACAAATTACTATTATGTTCAACGATTGTGTCTCACAGTAGGTATGTAAATAAGTTTAAAAACACGCGTTATTGCTTCTTTACTCCCTGTCGGAGCCCTTGCAGCTGCAGGCCTTGCTCTGCCCCTGCCGGGCATTGTCATTGTGTCAGGCAGTCAGGCACGATAATCATGCTGGTTCAAACGTGTTAAGTATGGCCAGGGTTGGACGCAATTTTCCTCCGCTTTCAGCTCCAAATATATACTATTTTTTAATCATGACAGTAATCACTTAATCAGTCATGAATTAATAATTGATGCAATAATTACAAAAATAATTCTTGAAAATTAAAATTAGGCTATCACATCAGAGGAATCACACTCGCTAAATTTACTTTGAACACATTGCTCGAACACAAGTTTCGTCAATGATCCCACAGATGGCGCAGTTCTCTATCAAACGAGGATATTATCACCACGACGTTTCCTTGGTGACTTCAAATTTAGGTAAGTGTTAGCCCCCTACGGCTTTTCATTAGGACCTTTTTGCTCGTGTAAGCCTGTGTGACAATCACAAGGTTAAACTCTAGTCTAGACTAGTGAGTGTTAAGCCCGCCCTCCCGCGTCAACCTGTTACAAATTTGATCACTTGTGCGCAGGCTCAAAAATGGCTGCGCTGCTGCGAGCCATGAAGAAAATCAATATTTATTCTCCTCGCCCCGAAGATTTCAAGCTGGGCTTTAGCAGAGGTCTAAGCTGATTTACTGGGTTTAAAGTTGTTTTTGGTAAGCCCTGTTGTTGTTTTGTACATTAGTGGTTGTGTTTTCGTGTCGGAAACCATGTTGCACCATTGTTTATATCAGCTGAGCTAGAAATATGCGTACGCAGCTCCTGTATGGCATTGCATGATTTTGGACCTGCTCAGTAGTGATGGCAGGCATCTGCTATGCGCCGACATACATGCTGCAATTTTCTTGCCCTGCGCTCTAACACTCTCCCTTTGAATCTTGGAGCTGAAAACTGATGAGCCACCTGTAGGTGTCACGAAGCTCATCTATGTCAATTGAACAAGATTACCGCTAACTGCACTCGAATTAGGTCACGCGCGTATATTAGACTGGGAAACACTTGTTTGCTCTGGTATTTGACATTTTAAGCAGATTTATTCTACTGATTGACGTATCATTTGAATGTTGCCTATCGAACCTGTTATTTCTCAACTTTTTCTCTCATATCGAACCCTTTTCTTCACGTTCTACCTTAGTTTTTACTAATCTTTTCTTATCTACAATTCTACATAGGTCACAGTTGTCAACAGGTAAACTTATAAAGCATTTCTTGTCAGAGTTATTAGTAATATTAGTTATATATGTAACCACAACAGACTACCTAATTAATAACAAATCCATTATGCATAGCCTAGCCTAGTGCAAACAAGAAACTTTTTGTCAACATTCCCTATTGACTAGGCTACCAGCGGCAGCATGAATATACACAAGAACAAGATAAGAGATTGAACAATATCTTGAAGTTGATCAGGAATTGAAAATAAACCACTACCTAAGTCTAATGTGGTTCAATGTTTGCCACTATCATGACAGTCATGACTCATGAGTGACTACAGGCCTACAGCAATCCCTTGATTAACGCGGTTAATAAATCCCTGAGTTTTACCGTGTTAAGCAAAACTGCGCTAATCAAACTTAAGAATATATGGGAATAATTATAATGATTCCTCAAAAATAGCAAAGTTACATAATAATTTTTTTTTCCACTGAAATTCATCATATTTTTTTTCTAAGTATTAGGGGAAATACCTAAATAAAAGAAATGCGAATGAATTAACATTTATTTTTTACTGAAAAACAAATCCAATTTCAATTGCACAGTAGTATTAGATTTCTTTCTCTCCTGCATAATTGTGCGATAGCAATTCACTTGCCTATCCACGTATCCAGGCCATGGCAAACTTTCATGCTTTTTTCTTCATTTGGGTCTACTTCTCTTATGATTTCTTTAGTTTTTTCAATTTCAGTGAGCAATTGAGTTGAAGGCTAACGAGTAACTAGAGCACTGGCATGGCGCAGTTCATAGTTGCAAACCAGTGATTTTTTAGAATCAGTTCATTTTTATTTTTCTCGTTTACTCAAGATTTTAGAAGATTTCTTATGTATGATAATTCTGGTATCCAAGATACTTTACTGCTCTACTTATAGGACTCAAAAATGAACTTGAGGAAGAGTCTAAAAATCTCTGCTTTGCCACTGTGGCGCACTTACTGGCGAACGTTGCCGAACTTGACCATTTGAGTTATGAACGAGACAAGGCGCGGTTAAACCGACTCTGTAGTTAGCACGAGTGCCTACGGAATGGGACCTTATTTAAAGAATTATTGACTGAAATTCATAAAGTAACATTTGGCAAATTTTTCCAAAAGTCGTAACAAAAGTAACAACATAAGATCTAATACAGCAAAAAGTAACACTTTTTGCGGTATTCAAAACCGTGCTAATCAAGGGATTGCTGTATATGCAGTATATGCACTATGGCTATGCAGTCTATGCTGTTATGATAAGTGATAACGCCAACGGCATAACTCTAATACTTCTTTTTGAGATTTGAGTGGTAGGAAAGAATTGACCCCAAAGTCCAAAAAATCACTATTAAATCCTTCTAATATTTTTATGAAAAATATCTTGGATTGTTTTGTAGCTTGCCAGCCTTGTCAGTGGTGACTGAAGTAATGTAGTGGCTTTAGAGTTTAGTCCAGGGGGGCTCCAAATTTTTCAATATGCGGGCAGTGCCACATTATATATTTCCCATATTTATGTGGGCCAAAGGAATAAAAAAAATCAGTGCCAGTAATTTTATTCATTCAAATATTAAAGTATAAACATGGAAAAATTAAACATATCTTTTTAGAAAAAAATCAGGATAAACTAAATAGATGTGGCAAATGATGCTGTTGTTTTGACTTCAAAATGTCATTAAAATCTGGTTTCAGATTAGATGAGCCAATTGTTTGAATTGATTTCAAGTTGTCATCAAATAAATGTGCTTGATAGTTTTATATTATTCACTTTGGAAAATTTTGTTTCACACATGTATGTTGAACCAAAAACAAACACAAAATTACAAGCAAACTTTATCAAATTTGGGAACCGATCTGGCTGCAGGCATTTATAAAACTCAATCAGATTTAAGTCTCTATACTTATCCTTCAGTCTGTCATCTGCCTGCAGATCAATAATTTCCATTTGAAATTGAGTTGGAAGACTTTCAGCATTACAGTTAAATGGATTATAAAAGATCTGTGCTTCCTGAAATGGAAGCAGCAGCAAAGCCCCACTTGGCCTCCATCCCCACAATATACAGTTATACCGTACAGGGCGTACACAACTGATTGGTTGTAATGCATAACACATACCTACCAGTATTAGTATCTGTACATCACAGTATCAAGAAAGAGGAAAACTGACTCGGGCTGAGTGCCACCAGTCAGAAGGCCCCCGCTTTGAATAAGCTGTGATGCCATTTGTACAATAATTATTTATTCATTTCACAACTTCATCCAGCAGGCCGGATTAAATTACGTGGCGGGCCAGATGTGGCCCACACGCCATAGTTTGCAGACCCCTGGTTTAGTCTATGCTCTTTCTATGGTGACTCTGAGTTCAGTATTATCCAACTTAAACCTATATGAATCCAAATTCTGTTGGTGTATGAAATGTTTGTTCATTATGTTTCAAGTCCCTCTAACCCTTAAGTAGGCAGATGTACAAATTTCTTAGTATAAGACAAATGCTAAAGTAAGTGCTGGAGAATATGACCAATTCCAAGATATATTCCCTTTAACTTTTTGAAAACATTTTGAGGCAAATTACACACAAAACCTGTAAACAATATAATCATAATGAGGTTGTAAGGCCTAAAATATATTGTATTGTGTCCATTTTTATGTGTTGCGGGAAGTCAACTCTAATATCAGTCACATTGAAGTTTTTGTCACGAGAAAGCTTTGTTAAGCCTAGTAATAGTGGGTTGGCTTTGTTTCATTGTAGAGCACTGTTAAATGCTTCATGTATATTCTATTAGTGTCATTGTCTGAAAAATTTATCAAATTGGTAATAAAACCAATGGATAATAACTCAAGTGTCAGACGTCATGCGTTTTCTTGCTAACTGCATTTGTGGTGCACTTCTTCAAAAATAGCTCATGCCCTCTCACAGAGTGGTGATCATAATTATTTTTCATGTTTCATACAGTGATTTTTCCCCTTGCCAATCTTGCACATAGTTCTGCAGCTCACTAATGGGAATAGACATCCCTATTTTCTATATCCCTTTGATGCAATTTAAAATAGTGCACTAAATTTCTCTAATTAAAAAAGCTAACAAGTTATAATGAAGTTTGGGCAAAAGTTGAAAATTTTGACCAAAATACTCCATGTACTACACAATAATATATTCATTTAAAAACTATTTTTGATAAACTGTAGAGTAATAGAAGACCATTTGTGGGTTAAGACAGGACCATTTGTGGATTAAGACAGGACCATTTGTGGGTTAAGACAGGACCATTTGTGGGTTAAGACAGGACCATTTGTGGGGTAAGATAGGACCACTTGTGTGGTAAAACAGGATCATTTAGTGGTCCTGTCTTACCCCATGTCTGGTCCTTTTCTACCCAATTTTAGAATACATGTCAGGCAGTGATGGTAGCATGTAGGAATGCCTAGTATGTCTCATAAGTTGCCTATTACTTGAAGTTACCTGCCTACATCCACAAACCTGGCCAAAATTTTTTTTGTCATTAGACAGATCTTATTTCCCAAACAGGGTTAACTATTTTGTGACCCTTCTTTACATAGGTTTTCTTTAAAAATTCACCAGAAATTCATTATTTGCAGAAGAGGGTCGCCACAAACACTGAAATGTTAGGCAATGATTGTTCTAACATATTCTTTTGTAAAATTGAATTCAGTGCAATTAGAATGCACACCATGGGCTGGTCCTTTCTTACCCCATGAAGGGTGTGATCCTGTCTTACCCCATTTGACTACTATATGGTTAATGATTGGCAGAGCACAAAGGCTTGATAACAGAGCCTTGAATGCTAAGTGGGGCCTGACAGAGAGAATTTTGGGATTATTGCCTTAGCTACCATACATTAGAATGCTACCAAGAATTTTTTTTTATCTGAAGAAATTATAAGTTATATTTGAAATATCATTATTAACCAAATATCTCCTAAAGAAATAATTTTCTAAGTTACAAAAAAAAAAACACATTTATTTGAAAAACTCAAGTACAGAAAATAATGTACAAACTATGAAAAGAAAAAAATATGTGTTTTTTCACAATCTTATTTTGTTCTAGTGAATTCACTTGACTCAATTAAAATGGTGCAACATTACAAGCCGTCCTGTAAGCTTACCTACAGAATAAATGCTACATGGCTGCTGATAGGAAGCTTGCAGTTGCAGTGGACAAGGTTGTTGTCAATACTCAATGGCATGTCCATGGATTAGGTAATATCACATCTATTATACGATATTGTATGGATAAGGTAATTTCATGTCAATGTAAAAAAAAGTAAAAATCAAAGAAAATGTCATTTATTCTACATTTACATCATCTGCAAAGGAAGAGGAGTTCAAAGTACTGTTAGTAATAGATGAGGACACTATGCATGCTTCTAACATTGTAAAATTGAGTTTTATTTCAAGTGTCCCTTATGACCCGTTCCCAGGGTTGGTTCAGGAGGCTTTCATTTTGTGTCTGGCATCTAACGAATAGCATATGGAATTTTTCAGAGATGCCATACAATAGCCCTTGCAAATACCTTTAAAATGAGCCCAAACTCATTTATGAAATGTTTCATTGTAGAGAAGTTATGGAAAAATACACAAAACTGTCCCTTATTACCCTGTTTGACGGTATAGAATTGCAAAATTAATGAACAAGTAAATGAAATCTCACCAACATGGCACAGCATACTTGTGATTATGACTCATAGACAGACTCACAAATTTATTGGGCTGTGCTTGCCTTGTTTTCAGGCATGATATAAATGTCAGTTCTGTTGAAAAATATTGTTTTTTAAATGTATGCAACTCTATGAAGTAGCTTGAATAAGCAGCAATATCTGTGTGATGATTACTGTTGGAGCTCTGGTCCACCGTGAAGATGGAATGTAGCTGACAAGATGTTAATTGTTGCTTTTAAATTGCAGATCAAAATGATGAATGGCATGTGTGGCAGCAGTGGTGGTGGTGCTGTCATCATTCGAGCTGTTGAGGGTCGCAGCACTGTTGATGCTTCGTCTGCTCTCTCAGGGCTCACCAGTGACATGTCTGAAAGCATTGTTGCGGAGTCACTTGAGTCTCCCACAGGTGGTCTTTCTCCTTCACAACATGCTCTCTCATCACCACAAAATCTTAGGTGATGAAATTGTCCTATATACATATAAATACCAATATATTTGTTGTTGAAAATTTGTTTAAAATTCACATTTCAAGCAATAATGTAGGTATTGCGCTTAATTTTCACGAAATTCTAAGGTTAGTTTCTCAAATTCATTTTTCTATTTTAACCTAAGCCAAATGAATAGGCTGAAAAAGTATTTTTACCAATTTTATTTTGCTGTTTAATCATGCAGCCAGGCTGAGCCAGCTTAACAAGAGTGTAAACTTAATTTACATAATTAACTTTTGTCCTTGAAACAAATGGCAATAGTAGCAGGAATGGCCGAAGAAATCTGGTCTATTATGAATAGAAGAAGACAGGAAAAACTTATGGCATTTATTATTTTATTTTGCTAGAACTCTAGCAACAGCAACGTTTCTAACTTGCATTCATGTTTGTATTTGTTTATTTTATTGTCTATATGTTCTTGATCAGATAATGTCACTGAACAAACATTTTAATTCTACCGTGAAGAATTCTTAATTAAGAAGAATAGTAAGAATTCTTGTAAAACAATGTCAGAAGATCATGATATGAAAATTTATACCTTCCACTAATCCATCACATGCATTCTGCTTGAAAAAAAAATGTCTTGGGCCTCCAATTGTACCTCTATCTGCATGAACATGAGCTCTATCTTGTGCAAATGAATATTCTCTCTCAAATTCCCTTTAACAATAGCTTTCCAAATTTCCTGAAAGTGTGGCATCTTGCTGAATTTAATTTTTAAATGTATTTTACAATTACTGAAGATTTGATTTTTTCCTTACAATGTTTTCATGGAAAAACTTGCCTTGATGTGCATGAATTCTTCAGCAATATAAAGATTTCACATTAATAATGATCATGATGTTGAGGAAAATAATGAGAGACCCCATTGCAAGAGCATTAATGTTTGTCTTATGACAAAATTTATCATCAACTATTTTCACAATTATCATTTTATTACTCTCCTGAATCTCTGTTAACTTTAAAATCAATTCTTGTCATTTTTAATTGACCAGATTGGACAGTGGCTGTTTCATAACCCTGACTTATTCATAGCAATTGCAGCATACGTTTGTTTTAGTAACATAAATTCACAAGGTATCCTGAATTTATCTGAATTCTGATGCAAATTCCTTTATTTCCAGTGATGATGACGACATGCCTCTGTCACCAGAAAGTTTTGATGACGATGGTGGCTCTTCACCATATTTTTCACCGAACTATGATGACGTGACCGCCCAGTTAGCGGCGGCAGGTGGGTGGGCAGGTGAGATAATACCATGACATACTGAGTCCTGCGCGACGCATGCTTCAGAATTGGGGCTGATGTGGTGATTTCTTCAACTAATTCTCATCTCATGGAGGCTCTGGTGACACACATAACTCTCAGTGCAAACGTTGGCTCATACTTGGTTTCTTTTTTCTGTTATATTAATAATCGATTTTTCCCTGCATTCATTTTGTGTAGAATATAGGGGCTCCTAATGCATGCCCTTGTTGTGTGGTTTTACTTAGTATTTATTATTATTATACGTTATTATTGTTTATAATCTATTAAGCATGGCTTTTTCTTCTTAGCTGTAGATGTTCTAAGATGAAACGGGAGAAATTTATGTTGAGAAAATCATGATATTATTGAATACTTCATACTACCCGAGAACATAAAATTTTAACGTGATTTACAGCATGAATGCCTGAACCAGAAATTCTTACAATGCAAGAGACCAGCACAGATATAATGTTTCAGTGATAACGTACTCAGCAAGTCATTTTGCACTACAATCAATCACTTATGGCTTAAGTGGTATTTGCCAGTGCCACTGAGCATTGGAGCAAGCTGCCAGACCCGCAACATTCAGTTTCATTAATATCTGATTTTTTTATGATATACTCATTTATGGTCGTGGATAAATTTATTTCATAATTTTCGTAAGGTTTTTATTTCACACTGCATTGTATTATTCAATTGCAGACAAATCCCCTATTATATTTCACTTAAAAAAAGTATTATGAGCCAATAACAATATCAGGATATTTCATTTGTTAATTTTTTTTTGCTGTGGAGCTGATAGCTTCATCATTATTCGATTATTTTCTGCTATGTAATTTTGCTGCGTCAGCTTCGGTGTAGCGCTCAGTGAAGGCTCACTTCAAATAACCACTAAAATAAACTAGCAGCTTATTGCGTGGGAGATAGTAATGTTGAAATTTCAAGACATTCTATCATTTCTATGTTATAGTCATTTTGTTGGCACTACATAGTTTATGCATTACTAAAGAGTGAATGTGCTGATCTCACTCATTCGTGCAGTTTTTTTTTTCTTTTGTTGCTTCTCTAATTTGACTCAAGTGATCCTTGACTCAAGGCCCTGGAAAATTTTTGATCACAGTAAAAATTATTACTGAATAAATTATAAATTATACCTTTTCGTCTTATTTAAACTATACATTAAATTACCTAAAGAAGTTTTATGAATCCCAGCCTTATACTGTGCTAAGAATTATTTTTTTAAATAATATCTACTTGAAATTTGTCTGAATTTTATTTCTTTATATTTATGTTATAAGAAATTGTGTTATGAAAATTTTTGAATTTGCAGTATTTTTTGTTGATTTTTTGTTGATAATTTATATAAACATATTTTGCCTGCGAGTGTTCTGGCTTTTCAAATAATTTTCTAGTTCCTGTTCCCCCAGCATAAAATTTTCCCTGTGCTATTTATTTGTCTGATGGCTATCCTTATAACTTATTCATTAAATTATTGCATGCTTTTCTTCATGAATTGCAAGGTGATTTATGTTGTTCAAGTTCAATTTTTATAAGGTCAAGGTTGGCGACTGTAATTCACAATCTGTGTTTTCATTCTGAGAATTGAATTGGTTAATGAGATTTGAAAGCTTTTCGTGATATGGATTTCTAAAGTAATGCATCTTGAAATTTAAAAAAAAATAATCATTCTGTAAATTTTCTTTGTGTCATTTTTTTCTGGATCTCCCAACAATCTTCATTTGTTCAATAGATAATAGAATATGAGATAGAACCGTCAGCTTTGCTATTTGCAATGATATATTGTATTTGATTTATAGTGTTTCCTGCAACCCCTATTTAATAAATTGCTGTTTTGTATGTTGTTCAAGTTCAATTTTTATAAGGTCAAGGAAAAGCCTGGAATTAACATGTATCTGTGTTGCTGATCCAACGTCGTTTGTTGGCAACTGTAATTCACAATCTGTGTTTTCAGTCTGAGAATTGAATTGGTTAATGAGATTTGAAAGCTTTTTGTGATTAGGATTTCTAAAGTAGTGCATCTTGGAGTTTCATGAAAATAATCATTCTGTGAATTTTCACTGTGACATTTTTCTCTGGATCACCCAACAACCTTCATTTGTTCAATAGATTATAGAATATGAGATAGAACCATCAGCTTTGCTATTTGCAATGATATATTGTATTTGATTTATAGTGTTTCCTGCAACCCCTATTTAATAAATTGCTGTTTTGTTTTATTTATTGGTTTGTGAATGATGATTTTATTCATTACAGATTTTTTATGTTTGAGTTGCGAGTAACAAAGCCCTGCAACGTAGTCACTAAGGCTTGTGTGTGTAACCCTTGTAGTGCCGTTGTGACCTGATTTTACGATCAGTTCTCTATATAACTCCGCAAAAAAGCATTTCTGCTGATCATATTGAGAAAATTTATTCATGAGCTCACCCAAAAAAAAAAGATTCTTTCAAATAACAGAAGAGCAATTCAAAGAAATTACCACGTCAGGCTCATATTCATGAAGCAGTTTTAAGGCCATTTCTAATAAAAATTTTGTCTTTCTCCCTTTTCCTGCCTCTTTATTATTTTATTTATTTATTTTACACTATTGCTTTCATATTGACCCGCCTCATCCCAATCTTCTCAAATTCTCTTATTATTTTACCATAAATTTCCATGCCAACTCTTGCTTGTGCTGGAAAACCCTTCTATTTTCTTTAAAAACTTATTTCCAAATTATTCAATTTTGTTTTTTTCTGCTTCCTTCTTGCCTGCGTTTCCCGTTTGGTTGAGGCTATGCAGGACCTGTGGGTGTGGCCGCTGCTGCCGCTATCGCCTCAGCCAAGAAGCGCAAGAAGCATCACTGTTTTGAACTCAATCCTTCCATTAGGAAGCGACAACAGACCAGGCTACTCAGGAAATTAAAGGTGTGTATGATACAACTTCTGTTCTGGATATATGGAATGGGTGTACCATAAGGTTGCGCTTAGTTGTTAGGCCAGCCTGCACCTAGAACAATTTACAAAGACTGGACAGTTACATTACGAATCATTCAAGAAGACTGCGCAATTTAATTATGAATAATTTATGAATACTGGCAGTTCCATTACAAATGAATAACTGCTACAAAAATTTTAATTCTAACAAATTTGTAACTAAGACCCAGCAGCTCCATTACTAATCTGTTACCAAGCTTTGGCAGTTTCATTAGGAATAAAGCATGAAATGTGGCCATTTATTATGAATCATTTACAAAGACCGTGTACTTCCATTACAAATAAGGTACAAAGACTGGGCGGCTTCATTACGAAACATTCACAAAAATTGAGCAGTTCAATTATGAATCAGTTACAAAAGTCTGGAAAGCTTCATTACATGTGTATTATCTGAAAACTTTTTATATGAAGTTTTTATGTGAGTGACTATTGAGCAGCTCACCATCGATGAGTACTCAACACGCGTGGGACAACAAGCGGTGGTGTTGGTGGCAACACCCAGCAAGTCCGGCAACAACTTCAAGTGCTTTGGTGCCAAACCCTTAGAAGATGTTGTAAGTTCCATCACTATGCTCTGATTTGCTTCATTTGTGATTGGTTATAGAGAGGTATTTAAGATACCGGCATCTTTGATAAATACGCACCAGTCATATGGCTGAAGGTTTTGTGTCAGACTCAGATCTTGTTAAATTTTACTTCTGACTCGTGTTTATTCTTGTTCCAGTGCATATTTTGTGCAAGATCTGCAAAAATTTTGTACGCTGTGTAAGTAATCCAACTCCAGTTAAAGTTGATCATCCGCATGAGGATATATAATCATTATCGGACTAAATAATCTCAGACTTTCAAATATGATTGGTGTAGAATGTGATTTTATGATGAATGACCAAGTCTAAACTGGCATGTTTCATCCTCGGATTGTCACGTCTAAGCTGGCATATTTTGCCTCTAGATGTTCATGTCAAAGCTTCCCCATAGTTTTACTCCACGTGGTCATGTCAGAGATACTGTATTTTTCCCGCAGATGGGATATCAGAGCTGCCATATTTTCCCCACAGATGGTCATGTCAGAGTTGGCATATTTCGCCTCCCGATAATCGCGTCTAAGCTTCTTTATTTTCTTCCCAGATCAAGTCACTGCGGCAGATGATCATGTCAGAGCTGGAGACCGCCCTGGCCCTGCAGGCGCCCCCGCCGCCTCAGGAGGACCCGTCGCTGTACGAACTGCCGCCCCTCGTCATCGACGGCATCCCCACGCCCGTTGAGAAGATGACCCAGGCACAGCTCAGGGCTTTTATTCCCCTAATGCTTAAATATTCCACAGGCAAGTGTTCAATATTCAAGTAAACTAGTTTAAATCCAATTTGAACATGAAATTGGGCTGTATTCTCTGCTTGGCTAGGTATGCGAGTGAAGTATGATAGAACTCCTATTCAAAATACTGTGCATTTCGGTGCAGAATAAATTAGATATTCTTCAAGTCTATTGAAATAATATCTCGTGTTTACAGGGAGAGGGAAGCCAGGCTGGGGCAGAGACACCACTCGTCCAGCTTGGTGGCCTAGAGAAGTTCCGTGGGCCAACGTCAGGATGGATGCAAGATCAGAAGATCAGAAACACAAGGTGAGCGGTAAAGACCTCTTGATGAATAATTTAGTCTATAATATTAAGCTATTTTTTCATCTTAAAAGCCGAATGAACAACATGAGATATAAATGTTTCATATTTCCTCAGATCATAAATAAATAGTAGCTCTATAATAATGCAAAGTCGATTTGCCTTATTTTTATTATGTTTACTAATAGCTACGGTATTCGGTGTAAACTGCAGGAAGTTTTTTTATCCAACTTGTCAATATACTTTCCTTTCAAAAAATATTCTTGCTGCCGATCTCAGTGGTTCTTGTGTTTCAGATATCTTGGACTACAGCATTGCGGCAAGTTGTGATTAATTGTTACAAATACCACGGCAGAGACGACCTGCTCCCTGCATTTGTGGAGGACGATGAAAAGAGCCAAGTAAGTGCTGTCAACTTTTATGTCCCGTGTTCCGATTATGAAGCGATGTTTCTCTTACAGTCATGACGTTAGCATTCTACTGAATGACGAAAAAATTTCGGTAGCAGCATGGACTGCGTAGTTTAGGTTAGGGTGCGTCATTTCTGAAAGTGGCAATGATTTTTTTCTATAAAGTTCACAGCTGGTGCCAGCCAAAGGTTTTTGAATCTCAGGGTAGCATTTGTCTTGGTGGCCACGGCCCTGATGGGGAGGTGGAACGAGTAGTGAGTGTCTCAAGTGACTTCTAGGCTTTTGTTCAGAGGGGTGAAGTCACTGCAGAGCGCTGCAAAAGTATGCGTGCGCGATTGAAGTGTGTCGGGGCATACGTTCTAGGATCCTAACTGCATGGCAGAGAAGGGAGATTTGGCTTAGTCTAGGTGATGATTATAGAGTTCGTCCATCTGACCTGAATTTATTGTATTATAAAATCTGTTTTATTTTGTTTTGCAGGGCATGACTGGTGATATAAACTTGATGAACAGCAGCGTCCTCACAGCGAGCGTGGTGCAGGGTGGCAATTCTAATGTATGTTCCGTCAGTGGTGGCAACACTTCAGATAACTCTGGCACAACTATATTTTCTGGGCCCATAGTGCAAACTGTGAGCAATCACGACGGCACTGTGAGCATCATACAAGTGGACCCCAACAACCCAGTCATACATTTGCCGGACGGCACCACGGCACAAGTTCAGGGCATAGCGCACGTGAGGCTTATATAATAACTTTACACGTTTATATAAACTATAGCTCTTTCTTAATCTCGAGACTCTGGGATTAATCCACCATGTTTTTTATGAGCAAGTTTGACATGAAAGTTAAATTTTGACACTTTTTCTTGGGGTTTTCAGCTGGATCGGGATTTAACTATGATAAGCAATTTTCATAGTACCTAATGAATATGCAAATTTCTGTCATATCCTGGTATTAAAATCGAATTGGAATATTTTTTGGTTGTGGCAGGCAATCATTTTATTCGATTTAGGAAGATGACATAAGGTCATTCAGCTTCTTTACATAATGATTACTCTGTTGTGGTTTTTCTTTATTTCTGATAATGTTTGGAAAACGATTTGCACGATATTATGTACATGTTTTCTCAAATATATGTGGCATAATTTAAAGGAATTTTAAAATATTTATCATTCACATGTATAATTTTAATAAGAGCAGTAAGAATGCATTCATTTCATAATTTATCGTGCATGGAAGGCATCCATGGAAGGAATAAAAGCATTCATAGCTCACAGATGTTTCAATTCATGCCCCTTGCGCCAGGTGACCGGTGACGGAGGGGATAGCGACGGGGGCATGCAGACCGTGTCGCTGGACCTCAACCAACACACCACCGAGGCCACCATCGGCCAAGACGGGTCCATCATCATCACCGGCGTCGACGGCACGCAGAGTGAGTCAGCAGAGTGACGTGAGCGGCGGGTAGGGTAACTGGGCACTGAGTGATTGTCTGGGGCACGCATGTTGATAGAGTGAGTCGGCAGAGTGACGTGAGCGGCGGGTAGGGTAACTGGGCACTGAGTGATAGTGTGGGGCACGCATGTTGATAGAGTGAGTCCGCAGAGTGACGTGAGCGGCGGGTAGGGTAACTGGGCACTGAGAGATAGTGTGGGGCACGCATGTTGATAGTGTGTCGGCAGGCTGGCTTGAGTAGCGGGTAGGGTATGCATCGATTACATGTCTAGAACGCGGGTGTTGATGGAATGATCGAGATAGTTACCTAGTTCTCGGATGTTGTTAGTACTGTGATCTAGGTACTATAGTGTGATCTAGGTACTGATATTAATAGTCTTCTAAATTTAGTGATCTAGACGTCCACAGGGCATTTTTGGTAAGCGTATCGAGCACTTACTTCTTGTCCAGATTATCAATTGGTCTATAAGGATTGAATTAAATTGTCCTGAAAGCTGTTGTTTATTTCAGTCCCGGTGAGCGTGTCGGGCGCTTACTGCTCGTCCTCGCTGTCAGGCATGATCAGCGTGCCTCTCTACCACACCGTCGTGGCCAACATCCACGGCTCCGACGGCCAACCCTTGCACGTTGTTACGCCTAATGATGAGCATCTATTCGACTGTTAGCATTTTATCTCTCGGTGATGCATAGTTTCCTTTCATTTTTCATCCAAAGTGCGCTTATTTGCTCAGGTACCGAAGCTCGAGCCTGGCCTGGATGGTGGTGGACTGAGCGGCGTGGAGGTGGCCACGCTGAACACGTCCCTAGACGGCAACATAATAGCGACGACAAGCGGCCATCACACCATTGACGATGACGACGGCAACAAACAACAGCGCACACACGCCATACACGTCGTGCAGCACAAGGGGCACAACTAGCCGGCACCTCGCATTACATGTCATGGTGACACGTCTGCGGTTGTGTTGAAACATATTAAACTATGCAACACGTCTGCTGTTTGATCGGCATCAACAGGCTTATTAAGTGTCGTCTTAATTTAAGAACAACCAGCACGACACATCTACAGCCTGCATGACACATCAACAGTCTACACGACACATCAACAGTCTGCACGACACATCAACAGCCTGCACGACACATCATCAACAGCCTGCACGACACATCATCAACAGCCTGTACGACACATCAACAGCCTGCACGACACATCAACAGTCTGCATGATGCATCTTCTCTCGCGACAATTAATTGTCTTGATGACATATCTAGTCATTAGAATACTTCGACCATCGGGATATTACGTGAACAATTGCTGCACACACGGTCACGTATCAGCACTCATGGTCTGTTATGATCGCGTATACTTATTGACGAGAGCGTTGCTGCAAATGGCCAGTGGCATTGAACCCTATTTCGTCGGCAAAAATGCTTTGCTGCTTCTGATGCAGCCTCGAAATTGCGATGTAGCTGCTCAGAAAACTTCAGCCAGCCCAACCCTATTGTGAAGCATCCTATTGACATTGTCTTTTTGTGGCTTGTACACTAAACCACTAACAGGCTCACTGTTTAAAGCCAAGACTCTAAGCTTCCTTCAATGTGCTGTGAGATCGCTGGGTTCGCACCTCGGCATCTGGTTTATCGACTTGACTGTCATATTTACAATTCTTGAATCTATCAATTTGAACGGTAATAATTTGTATTCAATTTATTTTTTGCAATTTCCGTTTTTTTTATCCCACTGACTTGTTTCTTATGATTTCAATTTCGTGAAAACAATATAGTTAAAGTTTCAAATTTAATGATTTGCCCGGCCTAAGCTAACATGCGTGCAATAACATCAGTCGGGTGCTCCGGGTTTCTTTTGCTCATTTGAACTTCTTGCCACAGACTGCATTTTCTATCGCCTCGGAACTTGTATCTCGTTGGTGACACTGATGATATAGTACGTCAGAAGCTGTTCGGTAGCTCCGCTTGCTGGGATATTGTTCTGTAGCTGTTGGATCTATGAGCTTAATTCCATCCAATCTAGCTAATTATATAATTTGAATTTATTATTCAAATATGAAAATTGAGATCGAACAAAAATTATTAGAATGTGTGGATCAACTTCCACCTTGTTGTGCGTATCTGCTTATTTTCTCGAGTATCTGTGTCTACTTATTGCATTGGGCGAACGCTTTCAATAGTTTTGGTATCAGGTGAGGTTCCTATGGCTATCTCTATCTGACTTTAGTGAAATTTGCTGCGGATTTAAAGGCGTATACACTCATTTTTCTTGAGTTCCGTACTATCGCAAGAGTATACTTAAGCCTTTGTTTACAAATACATTACCGGTCATCAGTGCTATTTCATGGAACATAGTTATCAGTAGAACTGAGGTTGGAATTAATTCTACTGGGCTTGATGTAGACTAATGACTTGGTAGCCTAATTCTACTTGGAATTAATCTACTTCATTAATTCTGGTAGCAACAACACTCAGTCTTGAAAAGCAACTCTGGTCACTATTTGATGTCTAAAATTACGCAAAACTCAATTGTTTTCAGTATATTTATTTTTCAAATTTTAGCGAGAAGGTAACTTTGAATTGACGCATTAATTTTGCGGACAATTCACGAAGTGACTTGATTCATTGCCGCATCTCAGTAAAATTTTCTTTTCTCTGTAGAATCTCGCATTATTTTACTTTTAATTGAAAAGCTTGCAGTGTCGTGGCAAAAGTAAGCAGATAATTTGTAATTTTGTGTAATCACTTTGTGTACCATGATTTCACGAATAATGTACGGAGCGGCCATTGAATCTCTCGGCGAATTTCTCACCAAAGCTCCCATCACACCTACCGATTTTCCCACCCGGAGCTGTGCGAGGTCAGCTCTCGACTTCAAACTTCTGTACTCTTCTGTGCTACGGGCGATGTACTCTCTCTATCTCCAGCTCGTCAATTCAATTTTGATGCCCTATATTCCAAGCGCTGTTATTTTAGCGACGATGAACCCAAGAAATAATTACACCAAAGCCACTTGATATCGAAGCATTTTTGCTTTCTTACACCAAACGCCGTCATTGTGCATTTGTTCAGAATCCTGACAAGCCCAGTTGTATTTATACAGTTATGAAAGGTTAAGTTTGTCACCAAATTATTTATTTTGGACAATTGTTACAAAGGTACCACCCTTCTCTCATTGTAAGAACCACCGCAGCCCCGCGTCAGTTATAGCGCGTTTAGTAGTTACCCACTGTGTTAATTTGTTACCATTTAGTTGATTCGGAGGTGAGAGTTAATGATCAGTGTTAGGTTCATACTATATTAGTGACATGTCACTCGTTAACTTCCTTTGTTATGCCTTTGTTTAGACTACCCAGTTGATATGTTACGTTACTGAGTAGTGTGCTCGCTGCTTGGCAGTGCACTTGCTACTCTTTGCTACCTGTGATTCTTTTAACATATATTGAATTTTATTTACTCTCTAATTACTACGCTTACTCGTAAATTATGTATTTATATTGAGATAGATACAGAGTTTTGTGGCGTCACCTTGCTACCTTTCTTGCAACTTGAACTCGTATCTTCGAAGAAACTTTTTTTCAAAGTTGCTTTACTTTGTGCTGCATATTTTTATGATATTTTTGAGTTGTAATCAGATTCAATATTACATACAATCAAACCAGTTGAAGAACCGTTGATTGTTCATTATTTAAGTTAACGCAATTGTTCACACATAATCGGCATTATTTCCTTCATATCATGTTGTTTACAAGGGCATTATTATTTAAATTTGTTAAGTAACCTAATACATTCGCTATGAAGAGTGAAAAACCTTAATACGTGGAACTACATGCAACTTCATATCACTGATGCAAGTTCGGCAGCTCGCTTTGAAATTTCCCCATATCAGAGCTGCAGCCATTAATTAATAATAATTTTTATTACCACAAAACCATTAAATTAACATGAGTTAATTTGATGAGCATCTGTTCATATCCTGGGTGATACAGTGATCGTGTAGAGTAGACGAACGTATTCCGTCGCTCTAATATCAGACACGTCGTTCAGATTTCCAATGCTAATTCTTATGGAATGTTATTCATTTGAATCGCAATTTCCTGATGACGGTTTGCCAGCCATGGCAAACCGATATCTTAACATCGCTAGACTCTCAACCTGCATGAGTATGAAAATTTCTTATTCCTCATGTTTTCTGTAGTCAGTCGACTGGCCCATCATTCCATGACTCATGCTGTATAATTCAAATTTCTCTATGTAGTAATCGTGCTATTATGAGAGCGAAGCCCTAGTAAAGATTTATCGTGTCTTAACGTCTACATGTTTGAGAAAAGTGGAGAGAAAACTCGGACAACGGTAAAAAGTATTTGAGTATATGTTTACTGTCACCGGTGTCGGGTTTCGAATTCATTTGCGACGTAGAATTCCTTAACTCCAGCGCGTCTGTTTTGAGACGTTGTGTATATTTTTAAGGATGTTTCAGTACAAATTTGTAGATATAAGTAATTATTCTTCTCCGTGTCTCGTGCGAAACTTGAGCTCAAAGTAAACTTGCAGTTCGAGACCTAATAAACATATGAAAAATACTTGTATTTCGTCGTACGTGTGGTTGGCGAACAGTACTAGACTTTGACATTGTAATACGGCAAAATAAACACGAAAATTGCCCTCATATTTATAATTCGAAGATAACGGTTTCCAGTGATTCTATACAAAGACAATAGGATGAAAAATCAAATTTACACAAACGGAGTGCATAAATTATTTCGAGATCCAAAAGAAATTCTGACGTAAACAGTTCATATGATGTCGAAGGATGTGATCAACGTGCCAAATCCGGACTACGTCCGAATTACTTGGCTGATTCTGTATAGTTTTTCACTATTCGCTATTGTAAATAATCTGTAAATCGTCATCCACTAAGTCAGTCACTTGAGACTTGAATGATACGTTGAATTCATCCTGTTATTTTTTTGTCTCATGTTCAGCGATGCGTTGAGGTATGTGCCATTTTTTTTCAGGGATCTTTCGTTTAAATACAATTGAAGAGGCTTAATGATTACCAAAGGTTGAAGTAAGGCTTTTGTTTATTCTTTTCCTAACTCATCAGTCGTCATTGTCAGGAGTAAGTTGTGCATTTAATCTTATTGGGATACTCGTGTCATGTTTGCTTTTGTCATTTTCTCGTAGTAAGCATTAGAAGCTGTACTCCCCAACACTTGACGTAACTCCTAATCATCTCCCATATGTTATCCACCTACTAACTGTTCCCAAACCTCGTGTCGAAATTCTCCAACACATGTCGATACCCCGCCTATGTTCGAAGTAACCATCACGTCCGCCAGTTCCAGAGTATTCCATCAACCCACTAGCTTGAAACCTAGTTCAGTTTGTAGTACATGTACGCCATTATCCATTTATCTATATTGAATTACTACAGAAAATAGCTGGTGTTAAGGCAGCAATTTTGCAGAGCAAAAGTCGTTATTCTTCACCGATTTCAGTGCATTTATGATATTAGGAGTTTTCTTGTATTCAAGGTTATTTTAGTCGAGGATGTTGGAGATAAATACTTGAAACGTCGTGAACTGACCTGAAGATGCAGCTTAGCTGTTCTCATATGTATGTGTACTCTCAATCTTCAGGGGTTTATGCAGATGTTGATTCAGCCGTGTCATTATCGTTGCGTGTAAATATAATTATTGTTTTTGTTGGCCGTTTCATATTCCTATGAAGGAAAGAATCTTCATAATTTTTTACTTAAAAATGAGAGTTTGGTTCTCCATGTGCCACAGCGTGTCTTAGAAATGGTTTAGGAATCACTACCATGGACTTCTTGGGCCTACCTCGTATTTTATTTCTCCGACCAGCCGACTTACTGTATCGGGACTAATGTTAATTGGGAACGAGATCCGATAATAAATAAAATTTCAATTTATGATTTTTAATTGATTAGATTAAATTGAATGTCTATTTGCTGAACTTGGCTAGCGCGCTTAAGGCTCTTCAAGAAGTATGCACTGCCCTACACGGGTAGGGTAGTGACTAAAGGTTTTTAGGCTGAAGAGCCAGCTCTTCTGGATCCATCGGAGTAGTAGTCTAGTATCTGGTGGTTGGTCAGGCCCGCCTTACTTCGGCAGACCTTCCCACACCCCTCATATCTGCACACCCAGTAATTCATTCTTCTAACATTCCTGTCCAGTTTAGCCACATTTGCATCCCAAGCGTACTCAAGCCCTTTCTGACATTCCCACTCATACAAATGCTCCATGCGTTCTTTCACCATGCCCTTCCATCCATCCCTATCTCTGCTCAGCCGCTCCACATCAGGCCAGTCCACTCCCGCTTCCTTCAACATCCGCTTCCAGTACAAGAAAGTCTTCCTCTTACGCCTTTTCATCTTCCCGAAACCTTCCAACTTCTCATACCATCCTAGCACCATCGCTTTCGTCAGCCTCTCATTTCCCATTCTCATTACATGCCCCACTCGCTCCAACACACGCTTCTCAATCTTCCATCTCACACTCTTTACACTCAAACACTTCCTCACATCCCACATGTTCACTCCTCTCGCTTGCATTTGCCTCAGTGGCTGGCCATTCCGATCACTCCACACGTATCTATAACACTTATCCATCCACTTTTGCAACCGATTCATATCCTTTACATACCACACTCTCGCCTGGCAATCATACAGCAGACTACTCTCCACACATGCCTCCACCACCCTCGCCTGACACTTCTTAGACATTCTCGACCCTTTCAACCACCCTTTCACTCTCCACCACAAACTTCCAACTCTCTTGGTCCTGCCCAGTCAATCACCAATGTGGGAAACGAGGTCGATTAGTGTGGGTTACTGCATATCGCGGAAGATCCGACCACTCGAAGATTTAGAAGTCGAGTTTCCCTGAATAATCTATGCAGGTGCATGGCGAACTCTCAACTGTGGGTTTATCGTTGCAGATCGAAGTATCTCAATGTGGGCAACTTTACAGAGCAAACCGAAAAAAGTCATGCGCTAACATGTCGGTTGGCTATTCAATCTAATAAAATAATGAATCTGAAATTGAGATGCATTTTAAAATTATGATTGCCCAGTTAAAATTGTGTTCAAAGTTGTGTTCAATCTAGTTTAAGTGATAGATTGCGCTATTTCGGGTCCATTTCTGATGTCAGTTACGATTATTATACCACGTAATTATTTTAATACTTTGAAATACGTAAGTGTTTAATTAGCTTTCCCAGTTTGTACGCTTCCGCAAAGTGGAACGTTCAAGTCTTAATGTTACCTTACCTTAATGATGTTCAGGAAATATCGATTAGTTTGTCTGAAATTTTTTTTCTAGCGTGAGTGTAAAGAAAACGTTTTTTCATATGCAACTGCGTGTTATATTAATTATGACAAATTTGCCTCAATTTTTTTAAATAAATTGCGATGCAAATTGATCAGCTCTTTTTTAAAATTTATATAAACTAGAGAACTAACTTGTAAATAAATTGAGGAAATACGGAAGTAACTGCGTTTCGCTTGCCCGAAAATAAAAAAAGTGGCAAGAGAAACGGTGCTTGTCTGTTTCCTTTATTGAACGATATTGATAACGAACATTTTTACTCAATCTAATACGAAAAAAATTCTTTTTTCGAATGAATATAAACCGCGTTCATTCCTCTAAAATGAATATAAATGAATAATCTTCAAACAGTTCCACCACAAATGTGGGCTATTCCTCGATTTATCAGACGATTGCAAGCCATTCGTTTCGTAGTTACAGTATGTAGTTGATAGAGCTCGCTTTGAGGAGGTGCCATGGTGATCAACTTGGCTGAGGCGTGGGCTTCGGGCGCGTAATTTCAACGTTCGAACCTCGGAGCGGCAGTCGACGTTTATCCGGTAAGAGAACTTAACGGTGAAATACTTGTAACTTCTCTGCATTATTAGTAATTGAATTTGTTAGATTGTAATTGATATTGCAAGTGTATATACGATGTAAATGTTTGACAGCGATGACTATGTAATATGACTCGTCATAGTAAATAGTAACGGAGTCGGTGATCTCGGAAAAAGAGAGAGAAAAAACAGTTTTAAATTTGTTTTCGCATAGTCGACAAACGGTCAAACTCAACTGCCGGGCATTTGGCAATTAAAATGGATTAGACATCGACAGAGCTGGGCAGCGCTACTTTGAAATGTAGCGGCGCTACCGTTACCACTACACGCTCTAAATGAAGCGGGCGATACCGCAACCGCTACACCCACTAGATTGTAGCGAGCGCTACCTCTACCGCTACAGTATAAGATGTAGCGCCGCTACAACGGCCAAAATTATTGGAAATCTCTAAATATTTATTGTTCTTACTTTAATCTACCAATCTAAAAAAGTATCCACATATACATATAAAAAATTAGTATTTTATTTCTATATACATGTGGATTATTTTTGTGATTGGTATATTAAAGTAGACATCCATGTAGAGAAAGTGAAACATAAAAATAACTGTGTAAAAATAACTAAGCAAACTGAAACATGAAAAATACCTGTAAGTGGTACCTGGTAACAACTTAACATGTAACAACTAACATGTTGACAATAGTAACAGGCTGAGGTTGACAACAACACCGAAATCTTTCGTAGTTTTATTCCGGAATTTATATTATTTATGTATCATGCTGGTTTTTAAATAATATTTAATACTATTAAGTAAAAGCTAAAGGCTTTATCTATAAATGTAGCGGTAGCGCTGTAGCGGCAAAACCTCGTATCGCTACTTAAATATGTAGCGGGCGCTACCGCTACCTTGCCTTAAATGTAGCGCCGCTACCGCTACATGTAACGCGATACTGCCCACCTCTGGACATCGATTAATGTAGATTCGACGTATATCAATGATGATTTGACATCGATTAATGATGATCCGACTATAGCTACTGTAGATATGGCATCGTTCGATGCAGATTATATTCGACTCAACAAATTATCAGGTGCAGAAACTCCGAAGATCTTCACCGAATCGGCATAGAAAGCTCCTCTTTAATCGGTGCTGCGCCCCGCGACATAGCTCTCCTACTTATCGACTCCAAATTGGGTTTGGCCTTCGTCGATCGAGCAGGAATCTGCATCAATATTCTTGATCGAACCACATCAGTCTCCGTCGATCGATCAAGACCTGATTGACTAGGGGATGGTGGGAGCGACTGCATGCACACCTCCTCATACGACGCCAGGCGGGTAACTGAGGTGCACCTCAAGCAGACACTCAATTTAAAGTGCTCGCAGCAAATTTCCTCCTATTCTATTTGTTAAAGAACTCCCCCACTCCCTCCCTTTCATGATTTGTCGTGAAGGCATAAATCAACGTAGAGAGATGGTAATGGTACCGTTGAGATAGGGCAGAATGAATGAAGATGAGACTAAAAACCGGAAAAGCCAAATCCGAAAACTTTAGGCTAAACCCCCCTTATAAAACACTTGAGTTCTGTGCACTTGAATTTGATATACCAACCTTATACAATTATTAAAATTCGTCATATCCAGTGTATGACATATTAAATTCATCAAACTTGAATGAAGTAGCATTACGTGAGCGCGATTTAACAATGACGTTAAAACCCTTCAAAAACCAAAGATATCATTGGATTCCATATGTGCAATGTATCTGGAAACGTTCGAGAGTCATGCAACTGTGAAAAGCACTCAATTAAATTTAGGTTAGCAAACAGAGTGGTATCCTGTTTATAATTTTCCATAAATTCAATGTCGAGCCACTTGCCTGATCAAAAATGTCAGTTTATTTAGAAGGGATGCTCCTGATCAACATTAGGTACATCCTACGCTTTACTGAAATCTTACGGCTCCAAAGACACATTTTTGAATGAGTTTGATATCTGAAGGCGGTTTTATTCATAATCCTGCCGCTCCAAAATCATTTATACATAACCCCTCCCGACTTCCATGCTTGTAGATGATATATTTTTTTCAAAAGATAATAAAATCTTGGTGTGACAGGAACTTTTTTGAACAAAGAAGAATTTGAGGGTGTAATAAATGAACAGGGAGAAACTTGACCATTCCTGCATAACTTGGCTGTATATATGTTTAAATTCAGCTTGTAGCCCAACTGGATCTATTCTAAATATATGAACCAACTATTATATGCCAAGAATTCCACTCTGTTGGAATATGAGGACAGGGTGTAAAGTAAGTACAATGGTTACTAATCAGGAGTATTTTTTGCATTTAATCAGTCACATAATACCGAGTAAGCGGATGAAACTTCATGGAGATGAACTGCAGAATTCCACCTTGCATATCAGTGTATATATTTATACATACACTATAATTGTCTCCAAAACCATCATTTTTCATATCATCTGTTGATATGGGTTCAAAAGCCATCTTTTAAAGAAGTATTTCGATATTTCCATTCAATAATACGCAACTCTCCCAATTTCTTAATCTTGCTGCATTAATTGGGTACTGAGTTACTAGTATTACTGGTGACCATTAGGCTTTCGCGGTTTACTTGTAACGTTCACATTATAAATGAAAATCCAATGTTCGTTAAAAAGATACTAGATATGGAACAAAGTTATCAAAACAGTTGAAATACTCAATTTCGTATCAATTAAAGAGGAAGAATGATGAAGTTACCACTATATTGACATTACGCGGCAACAATACTGTGGTAACTTCGGCAACAACGACTGTCAGATGAACTGAATTATGCAGACACCAAAGAATGAGGTGCATTGTCTCGTATCTAATGAGGCTGCATTATCCTGAGAGGGACATATGTGTGGAAATTCCTATTCGTTGCCTTATTAATATTGTCTAAGCGCACGAGTCCGATGGACATTGATCTATTGTTAGGACGAACGATGGTCGAAAGCAAAGTAACGTGATTGGCAATGCTTGTATTTTTATACATATATGAAGTTTCAGAGACAAAATTTAAACCTGCTCACTTATCTGAGCCATAGAAACAGACAAAAATTTAAAAATTTTCAGTAATGGATATTTTTCCTAATGCAATATAGAATACATTATTCATTTTCTATTATATTTCTTGCGGTATATTCTCCACATACGAAGATACAATTATTCATCTTATTCGGATACATGCATCAGTTGAAGTGAATGTCGTGAAATTTTTTCCTTATTGTCTTCACATGTACATTGCATTTGGTACCATAGTTTTTTCAAGTTTTCACCCACCACTTATCTGATTCTATTTACTAAAATTCAGCAATTCTTCACTTTACTTGTATGGCCGTTCAGGTATAAATACATTGCAGTAATGTCGTCATTGAGTATGTTCTTGTAGTAGTGTTATTTTATTTAAAATTGTTGTATTCATATTTATTGGAGCTGCCAACTCGAGTTTCGCTTTCAACACAGCAACAGTAAGTTGGTGTGTGTTGGAGTGGGTATCTTGAATGCACGTAGTTCATCGTGTGCTGAAGCTCTAGCTGCTCCTGGAATCTTGCTTCCAGCTGCGGAAGCTTAATTCTACGATGAACGATATTGTAGCCAAGCCCAAGCCTGACGGGGATAGAAATTATCCAGTCCAGTAACCATTACAAGAGATAAAAAAGGCCTGAGAACAAGGATAAATTTTTAGAAAAATTCGTCGCAGACGTGAACTGGCGATAATTTGTCCAGGGTGAGCTGAAGCGAATCATTTTTACTCATGTAGATGCGGGAACGTTCCATTGTATGATTTTTTAAGAATTGATACGTAGGTATTCAGTCCGTTTATAGAGTTTTGTATTCCTAAAACATAGTTTTTAATCCAAAATAAACAGAATAATAAAAAAATTAGGCCTTGGGGTTTAGTAATACCATTTCTTAGGCAGGCAAATTAGTTGCATAACTATCCTTGTGTTTACGACGAATCGCGTGAATCAAAGATCAAACAAGGGTTTTCAAAATTATTAACCTCTTGTCGTCTGCCTTCGCACTGTCGTTGAGCACGTTCTTGTAGTAGTGTTATTTTATTTAAAATTGTTTTATTCAAATTTATTGGAGCAGCCAACTCGAGTTTCACTTTCAACACAGCAACAGTAAGTCGGTGTGAGCTGGAGTAGGTATCCTGATTGCACGTAGTTCATCGTGAGCTGAAGCTCTAGCTGCTCCTGGAATCTTTCTTCCAGCTGCGGAAGCCTAATTCAACGATGAACGATGTTGTAGCCAAGCCCAAGCCTGCCGGGGATAGAAATAATCAACTCTAGTAACCATTACAAGAGATAAGAAAAGGCCTGAGAACAAGGATAAATTTTTAGAAAAATTCATCTCAGACGTGAACTGGTGATAATTTGTCCAGGGTCTGCTGACGCGAATCACTTTTACTCATGCAGATGCGGGAACGTTCCATTGTTTTTTTCAAGAACTGATACGTACGTATTTAGTCCATTTATAGAGTTTTGTATTCCTAAAACACAGTTTTTAATCCAAAATAAACAAATTATTAAAAAATTAGGCCTTGACGTTTAGTAATGCCATTTCCCAGGTAGGCAAATTAGTTGCATAACAATCTTTGTGTTTACGACAAATCGCGTGAATCAAAGATCAAACAAGGGTTTCCAAATCATTAAACCCTTGTCGTCTGCCTTCGCACCCAACTTTTAGTATTTATCTTCAGAGGCATACTAAGGCGAATGCATTGTAGGCTTAAGAATTGTTGACAGCGATTGCTCACCACCGAAGTAGAGCAGAAAGACCCCATAGAAGTCCTTCAACTCGAGCGGTCGCAGCGACTGCTTCTCGTTGGTGACGGACCAGCAGATCATTGCAGTCCTCATCTTCTTCTCGAACATATTCAGGATACCGCTCTCCCTCAGGCGCATCACCCTGCGGAGCAAATAAATATTTGCAGAATGAACAAATGCACGCAGGGAACCGCTCTCGCATAGCAGCACCCTGCGCAATAAATAAATGCATTCACAATTCTGCTCTCTCACTGTGCAAAGGTACGTACCCCTTGGGTTAAATAAACACATACAATAATACGCTCTCCTCAAGCCACAATTTTCCTGGTGGTGAACAATTAAGTGCACCAACAATACAGCTTCCCTAAAAGTGTGTACATGGGACGACTGGAAGTAGCCAGGTCAAGTGGCAGCTTTTAGTTTGTAAGGCAACAAACTTTATGTCTAGGCGAGCGCTAATCGAAGAAATCCTTCAAGGCATGATTGCATAGTACTCATTCTGACAGGTTCAATGTTCATTCTCTCTTGGTATCACCAAAGTTATATTTTTATCTGTTTTATTTATGCCGAGATGGCTCAAAATTAAAATGAAAATATTTACTGTTTGTTGAACGGAGCCGTGTACGGAGAATTTTTTCGAAAGCCCACAGTGAGCCAGGTGGGGAGGAAATTGTCTTTGATGATTAGAGGGCACGTACGGGTCTGTTGATAGAAGCAATGTTTAATGTGTGTAACAATTACACGTTGAATTTTTCTTGAGTAATCCCCTTTAAAAGTAAGGGCGCACATTTTGTTCCATCAAGACAGTATTCCAAAAAACCTGAATGCACTTTTGGCGATATTAGGACGAGCCTTTATTTTCGAGTATGTGAACACTTGACTTCTGTTGAAATTTAAACAGAATAAGTCTTGAGAGGGAGGACGTTCACCTTCGCAAAAACGGTGTCCATGACCCCGTACATAGCGGATTTGATGCCGACGTAAGCGAACTGTCCAGATACAATTTTTTCGGATGCGTTGATATAATCGTTCCCCCATGAGCCGACGTTTCGATACAGCTTGCCGAATGTAGAATTTGGTTCTGCCTCCTGAAGCCAAAAAAGTGTTAATTTAGGTTTCGATTCCAATAATAAATATCATCGGGTAATAATATTCGAATTTATTAGAGCTTTTCGTAATTTATATAGTATTTTTAGTCTAAGAGATAATTAAATTGGACAGCATATGTTAAAAAACTCTTTAATTTCGCATGCTCTAAAATAACAAAACCAACACGAGAACTTTCAGTCGTAATTTCCAGCATTTCCAATAAAATTCGCGAAAGTGATGCTTACCCTTGACAAAGAGTCCAAAAGGGCCACGAAGCAAAATTTCATACCCCTCGGGAATCCATACTCCAACTTAGTACAATAGAGCTTCCACGAATATATTACACCTCAAGAATTTAAAAGCAAAGAAAACAGCCAAAAAATTCATCATTTCTTAAGAATGAAAACGTTTCGGAGTCCAAAAGCAAATCAATTAGAAAACTAAAATTCACATTGAAGCTAAAAACCTAAGGTGACATGAGAAAAAAAATAAATACACATGAATTGACAGGCCTATCTATTTACAATTTCAATGGGATAGGAGTTGAAGGCTGCATTTCATCTAGATTTCTGTTTAAAAATATACAGGGATTCTAAAATTCGTAGGTAAGTAACACCGGTCGTGAAAGCTAAAACTCAAAAATCACTATCGGACACCGGAACATTGCACTGCTCGGCATAAACGCGCACAGCTGAATGAGGAGGATGGGCAAGTAATATTCACGTTCTAAAACTTCTGCCCTTATGCTCCGCCAACCTAGTATAAAAATTGCGAGACGTCATACCGTCGTACGCTGATGCGCACTGCGGACAACAGTGTCTATATACTCGGGACGAACGGATAAAAAGCGGGAGAATAACTTTATACTTGAAGAACGAACCGATTTCAAAGTTATTCCCCAGCAGGCATTCGGCGGTTGAATTAATGTAGAATCAATTACCTATTACGACGTTGAGATCGGGGTGAAAGGAGGTTTAGGATGAAAATTGAAGCAACATCTTTCATGAAACGTCGTACTGACGTTACAATGCAACGTTGAATCAATGTTGCTACTACGACGTTGCTGCAACGTTAAATTCTATGGTTTAATCGACGTTGAAAAAAACTACCTATTACGACGTTGAGATCGCGGTGAAAAGAGGTTTAGAATGAAAATTGAAGCAACATCTTTCATGAAACGTCGTACTGACGTTACAATGCAACGTTGAATCAATGTTGCTACTACGACGTTGCTGCAACGTTGAATTCTATGGTTTAATCGACGTTGAAAAAACTACCTATTACGACGTTGAGATCGGGGCAAAAAGAGGTTTAGAATGAAAATTGAAGCAACGTCTCTCATGAAACGTCGTACTGACGTTACAATGCAATATTGAATTAATGTTACTATTACGACATTGCTGCAACGTCAAATTCTCTAGTTGAATCAACGTTGAAGAACCAACCTGTTTTTCGTCCGTGGCAGGATTCGAACCTGGGATCGCTGGAGACCGCGCGACGCCTTACCCAGTTAAAAATCCAAGGCGTATCGCCGGCGTGTTTGGGTAGATTAAGGTAGAGACGCTCGGTTGGGGCGCCCGAGTAACATCTCCGCATCATCGGCGAAATGTCCATTTTTTTATGCGCGACGGTTCGCTCTTAAACGGCACGCGGCCGCGGCGCGTTTCATAGACTGA